GACCCATCACCCTGTGGGTCGGGTGGGTGCAGGTGGGCGTGGCTCTGGGCGCATGGTGCCCAACTCTGCTCTACTTCTCGTAGTCTTACTACCCTAAGACGGATGGTCAGACTAAGGTCACCAATAAAACTCTTAGTAATATCCTCCAAAAGTTTATTAGGGATGACCAGCAGTGAAACTTACACTTAACCAATGTGGAGATTGCATACAATTACGTTGTTTTGCCAGTCATGGGTATGTCGTAATTTATTGCAACCTCGACTACCACCCTCGGGTACCCACGAATTTCTTATGGCTGTCGCCATTGCACCCAGACACTCGTTGTTCTGCCCTTGACGCCTAGATCGCTCACATGGCGGCGACTATGAGGCACGCACACGAAAGTCTAGTTGACTCCCAGACTCGCTTGGCCGCACAAGCGAACCGATCATAAATGAATCATCCATTCAAAGTCAATGACGATGTGCTCGTTGACGCACGACACTTGCTGCTCGAAACGGATATGCTTCGTAAGTTCATTCGTCACTTTTAAGGTTCATACCATATTTTTTAGGTCCTTGGTTCGGATATTGTTGCTAGCCCTACCAAATTTCGTGTAAAGCTACTAATTACCTTCGATAAGTTCGCGTACACAATGTATACCATATCTCCTTGTTGCGTCCTTACTATCACATATCATCCAAGCGCTTCGCTGTGCGCCCTTATGAGCGTCCTCCATCTATCATGGCGGACGATTACGAGGAGTCAGTCATTTCTGACATCGTATATCGTGGAGTTACCGATGATATCCCTCCACGCATCGAGTACCTGGTGCGTTGGAAGGACCATCTTGATGAGGAGGTTACTTGGAGCAACCCAGAATGTTGGTGTGTGCATATGATCATGTTTGTCGTGCTGAGAGATCTGCTCCTACTCAGTCGACTGACCTTCTTCCTCCTCTTCCGACTGAGGAGATTGCTGAGAACGAGTCCGCTCCCTCTGAGGTCGTTCTTCAGCAGCAGACGGACGTCTCTGCTCGTCCACATAACTTGTTTATCTCCTAAAAAAACTTGTTTATCTCCTCACCACTTCAAGTGGTCCTGAAAAAATACTTTTCTATTATTTTTTTGCGGTTAATTTACTTCACATAAAATTTTGTTTATGCAGGAGACCTGAAAAATATACTATTAGAATCTTAAAAAAAATTCGTTTAAACCAAACAGTTATTTTTATTAGGTTTTCATAAGTCCTATGTTGACTCTGCTTCAACATCGACTCGACGCCTACTTCATCGACTACCTCGACGACTTCAACTACCTTCACGACTTTAACTACCTTTTCGACTTCAGCTACCTTATCGACTTCAACTACTCTAGCAACTTCAACTATTTTGGATGTGATTACTTCACACCACCACCCTACCTCGTGCATTCCTTTGTGTGTGCCGCATGATGGTTCTCGCTTAGTTGATTCTCCCTGAGTTTGACTCTCTCTTGGTATCACATAGGCATTGAAACCACAACGTTATCTTGGTTTCCCTGCTCCCATATTTGGCTTCCTCCCTAGTCGGCTAGTTATGTGCATGTTTCCCTCACCCACTACCCTCATCACCCTAGTATCAGTCATTGCAAGCCTTCAGTTAGATACATCTCCACCTTTCTTCCAGACTCCCCTTTCATGGTCGCCCTTGCATGGTGTCACCCTTATGTCGAGCATTACCTTCTTTTATGGTTTATCCGTTAGGGTCACTGGTTTTGTTTCGCTACCACTCCCTCGCCTTGAGTCTGATGACCTATCCCATCTTCGTGTGTGACTGCCCTTAGAAGATTCGATTCTTATGCTATATTCACCCCCTCTAAGACCATCCACTCTTAGTGGTTCGGTGACATGACATTATCTTGTGACATCTTGCTATCATTCCTTGCTGTTAACTAGGATGTGTACATCAAATTTTTGCCTTTGCTCTTACATTATGTAGCTTAGGTTGCATCGCATGGACTCCACATCGAGCTTGCTCCGTAACCTAGATTTCTGAACTTTATTGTTGAAGAGCTTCACTGCTTTTGCGAAAGCGTGTTTATGGCTCTCGCGACCCACTACAGGTCCGAGGATTGTGCAGCGTGCCTTTCGCTGCCCTGACCTAGAGCCAGGGATATCTAACTATTTTGCCTGTTCGGCACGTGCGACCAGTCCTTCCCAGTACCATCGTCGGTACCAGGCTAGTCCAGTCGAGTCCAATTTAGTAAGTTCGCAGAGGGTATACCCCAACTGCAGTTTGTTTTCATCCCTATTGTTCATTGCCACGGTTTGGAATATGTGCGTGTTGAGTCTGCGTTGGAGCTGCGCTGTCCCTTCCAGCTCCATCTTCATCTCCCCCATCCTCATCCCTTCGTCTTGATCCTGACGGACCGCCATCCAAGCGGGTCCGTCATATGTCGACAGTCGAGTTCTATCTGTAAGAAAAGAAACAAAAACCCTTACCGGAAGTGACAAAGAGCTTGAGGGCGTACTCACAGTAATACTATCTTGAATGTATTTGACCGCAATAAGTACGAAAGTCCTAGTGTGACATGCCCTGAGGGTCCCGCCGGACTACTCACCTAATGTGCAAAATGGACAATTCGCAACCTTAAGGCTGCGGTATAGTGGGCTTCGACGTCTATGTCAAAGTGTCGTAATTTTGGGGACAGGTGACCACGATGCAAGTGGGTTCTTTGGGGGGGGTGGAATTTGGGGACCGGTTCTTCAAGATATTGCGGACTACCTACAACTAGCTCTTGTAGAACCGGGACTTTTGGGAAAAAGAAGGACCGGTCCTCGGGTGTAAGCAGACCTCAAAAAGAAGTGAAGGCATGTGAACTTCAAAAGGGCCCTCAGGCCTAGGCGTTGAGACCCGTCTTCTCAAAACAGCGAGGTCAGGCGCAATGAAACAGACGTTTTGCAAGAGGCAACTTTGACGATTTTTTGTGCTCGGAGGAATCCGCGAAAAAATATGAAATTTTGAGAATCCATAGATGAGCTTGTGTTCTTTCTAGAAAAAATATTAGAACCGTTTCAAAAAATCATTTAGACCACAAAATAATTGTTGCGCTGATCCAACAAATTTTCCATTTTTGCCACTCAACCATGTGTGGGTCAACTGAAAAAGTACTCCGAATTAAGCGAGTTCTCTCGCTCAGAAGAATGCGTGAAAAAACTTGAAAATTGGAGTACTCGTAAATTTTGTTGTGATATTTCCAAGAAAAATGCTAAATAAAATTCAAAAAATCATTCCAACTGTGAAATAGATCGCGGCCGCAATTTGACCCATATTTCAATTTTGCCATTCAGCCTCTCTCTCTCTCTATATCTTTTTCTTTCTCTCTCGCACTCTCTGTCTCTCTCTCACTCATCTCTCTCTCTCTCTCTCTCTCTCTCTCTCTCTCTGGTAGCCCCCGCTCTTCCCTCTCTCTCTATCTCTTTTTCTTTCTCTCTCGCACTCTCTGTCTCTCTCTCACTCATATCAATCTCTCTCTCTCTCTCTCTCTCTCTCTCTCTCTCTCTCTCTCTCTTGTGCGCGCTCTTAGTCTTGTTGCTTTGGCTACCTTAGGGCTGCGTTCCCCGCACTCACGCGGTAGACAATGTGTATAATATGAGAGAATGTGGAAAGATGCACTCACCATGTTTATTCGTTTTTTTTTCCGTAAGCAAGCTACATTCTTTTCTCAATTTCACCCCACACTACCTACCTACCACTACTCCAAGTTATAGTCCTATTGGGAACCCCGTAGCAGCAGCCAGAACCGTGCTCATGAGAGAACATGCGGGGGCTGCTCCCGGCCTGCAGGTGGGCGATACCGGCCAGGGGACAGCCGGTACCATCAGGGACCATGCCAACAGGACCCTTTGCCTCCCCTCAGGTCCCCTCCCCTACCAACATCAGTAGACTCTGCTCAATGCCGATCGGGGGATCCAGTGGTGTATCTCTATGGCGGGCGCCAAGCATGCCTCAGGAAGGTACATGAGGACAGTGCGGATTGAACCCATGACCTCCTGAATGCCACTTTCGAGCCTTACCGAGTGAGATAGGCCGAACTCACCATGGCCTTTCTCTACCGGTCGTCTACGTAGTTTGGGCTTATTTGGAAAGCGATTGTGCTGTGTTGGCCGGATCAGTGCGTGAGCGGGGCCCGGCGGGTCCTCGCGTCGTCCTAACCGCGGGAAAATACAATCGCCCTACTCCCCTGTCTGTCTGTAGGGTGGTCTTGGGGAGATGTTACTCGTGTCAATCTGCCTGGCCATCGTCCTATCTGGCACCCGCCAAAAGGCAGGTGTTCATCCTTCCGCCGCGCTCACTTCTCAAGTCTCTTTTGGTCGTTGTCAAGAAGCGGGAGTGGCAACTCGATTCAAAAATTCCTATGTCGCGACGATCTGCAGCAGGGAATCGGAATTTTCATTTTTCATTTCACGCTCCCGCCTGCGGCGTGATTGCGCGCTCTCGCTCCTTCCCTCCCGTTCACACTCTGTGGGCCATATATAAACTGAAAGGGCTCGGCGGCGGCCCTCCCCCCACTTTGTTTTTGTCAACTACCGTAGTAGCCCGATTGCTATTGCTGCTATTGGTATTGCTACGTGAGGAAGCCAAGCCTGCATGCACTGTGTCAACGACCGCAGCAGCTGATTTCTATTGCTGCTATTGGTATTTTTGCTACGTTGGGCGGGGGACGAATCACACTCACGCCGGTAGCCCATACCGTGCCGTATCCAATTTCGTGTCATTGGAACTGGTTTCTCTCCGCCCTATCTCATACGTGCGGTGGCAACCCCAGCAGCTAACAAACACGAAGAGGACGCTACCTTCGGTAAACAGGCCGCCAATGAGGTGAGGGATAGGGGTGTGAAGGGCGCGGGCGGTTTGGGCGTGCGGGGGAGGGGGCGCTGCAGTGGGTCCAAGTTAGAGGCGGGACAGGAAAAGCGGGGTAAGGTGGAGTTTGCAGACGGGACGGGAGGCGGAGTATGGGGTGCTCGGAGACGCTGCCAGTGCAGTGAGCAGTTCGGTTAACGTAGGCCGGGGGCAATCAGTGGGATATAGGGGGAAAGGGGTCCAGGGTGTTTCCTGGGAAGCGGACTAAAACTGAGAGAGTGAGGAAGGGGAGGAAGGGAGGAGGGGGCCACACAGAGAGAGAGCGAGAGCGAGCGAGAGAGAGAGAGAGAGAGAGAGAGAGAGAGAGAGGGTGAATGGATCTATAGAATGGAGGAGCTCATCTGCATTGAAGACGAAGTCAGGTTGACGTTTAATAGACGAGCACAAATCAGGGTGAGAGCAAGCGACAGCAACCACATTCACATTGCACCTTGTGTCGTCGTCTGGTGTCATTCTTGTGCTTTTCCCTTCGTCCTTGGTTCTTCTCTACTCTATGTGGCGAACGGTTCAATCACAGGCGATTGCAGCCGCCGCGTACGCATGCACACTCTCACGCACGCGCTCTGTTGGATCATTCCGGTAGACTCTGATCGGTTGGCGGAACGTAGCCAGCCCCAAGCGCGGGCGAGTCGTCCGTCCGTCCCCTCTTATCGAACAGCTTGTTGTGTCTGTCTTCCTGCCATCTTCTTATTCGTAACATCGATTGTGACTAGCACGCCGACAAGAGCAGGGTCGATTTCTGCTTCTGTGGCGAGCGAGAAGTCCTTGTTTAATTTCTGTCTCCAGGAGAGGCTAGTTTCCCTGTCTTCTTCTCGAACAGCTTACCTGATTGTTGACCATAGTTAACTCACGCGTTGAATCTGGTGGTGCGGTGAGCGACTGCTTTGATATCCGATTGTGGGATGTGACGATCGGGATGATGACGTGGCATTCGGTCGCGCGACTCTCCGAGTACTGTGGTATCATCTGCATCTGTTAATTTTGTAAGTCTGTATTGCCTGCTTTCTTTCCTGATTGATTTGTCCGAGTGATTTTCAAGTAGTTGGTTTCGAATGGAGGAGGCAGAAAGGAAGGAGAGAGGCAGGAGAGGAAAACGAGGTAGGGCGGAGAGAAAAGGAGTGCGCGAGGTCACGGGGAGATGGCGACGGAGGGTGACAGGCAAGCTACATCATAAGAAGCGTTTTCTCTTTGCGGGGGGGCGATGGTTGGGCGGAGAGGATTGGAAGGGGGGGGAGAGATACGCAGGAGAGGGATCAACAAGTTGTCTTCTTGGGGGAGAGCGAGAAGAAAAATGTAGAGGACGAGGGGAAGAGTTGGGGGCGGGAATTGTAGTTGCTATCTTCTTCTGGTTGAAATCTCCGTTAACTGGGCGCAGATGAGGATGAGGGAGGAGCAAATCAGTCGTCCACCCGTTTCTCCCCTCTTCTTGTCTGGCTCCGAATGGCAGGAATCGATCAGATGAGGGTTGCGGTTGATTGATTAATCAACCATCTTCTATCCACCCTTTCTTCTTCTCTTTTACTTTGTTGTCATGCGATCGCCAGGAATCGATCAGATGCCACTGTCAATCCGCATACCTACGTGTACAAATCAGCATCCCAGTAATTACGTATGTACAAATCCGCATCCAGTTTGTGTACGAACCCATTTACTTGTATAAATTCGCATTCGCATCCACTTATACAGATTCGCCTCCACTTATACAAACTCTCACCCACTCCTGTTATTCCTTCCCACTTTTGGTATTTATTCCCATTACAGGTGGGTGGTTCAAGTCCCCACTTTTGTAGTACTGATTCCCATCCGCTTGCAGTACGACTCGCGTCCACTTCGGTTGCGCTTGCTGTGCTACGTGGTCTTTACCTGTTCTTTATATATATATTCACATCCACGTGGGCGGCCTTGTACGCAAGAGGTTCTGAACAGGGGGAGTTGTAAGGAAGAAGATATGAAAAAACGAATTCATTCTTTTCTGTTCTTTTTTTCGTTTTTGCGCTCTCATATTCATGTGATGATATATATATTCAGCCTCCTGATGAGTCGGTGAAACTCCGACGAAACAGTTCATCACAGCCCCTCGTTTGTTGTCCTCTTCTCCCTCTCTGCCTACGGTTTATCGGGCAGCTCTGTTTGACGATAGATATATGCATGTGTATAGGTGGTCTACCTGTCATATATAGATGTGTGGATGACCATAGTGTGCCCTTACCTGTAATGTCGATGTTATGAAATCGTCTACAGCCAGCTGAATTTCTTGTTTGACTTTGTACCTTCTTTAGACGCGTTGATTTAGTGTGTATAAAATAGTGATAGCGTCTGTAGTCTTTTCTGTTTTGATTGCTCGGCGCGTCGTGAGGTGCGAGGCACTGCCGCTTGTGCACATTGGTTTGATTGCGGTGTAATGAATCATATGTTTTTGTTTGTTATCAGGTTGGGATCGCGGGCTTCGTATTGGAATGGCTGCTGATAGATACGACGTGCTCAGTCCTTCGTTCGTTGATACGGCTGTGCATTCGATGCGCCGCCAGCAATCAATCTGTCTCGTAAATTAGGGTGTTGTGAGGGGTGTGTCGTTGCGTTATCAGCATGATAGGGGGGGAATTAGTGGATTGCGCGCGTGGTGCGACTGCAAAATAGGAATTCTTCCCTTTATCCGACCGCGATGAGCATCATCAGCATGAACCAAATACCTGCGGCATTGACCGGGAAAACGGAGGGGATAGGATTTTGATTGACCTCTTGGGCGCGGCAGTTGAGCTACCGTCTTCATCATCGCGATATAAATGCACGGTCATGTTCGCCGTATTTAGACTGAAAGTTGCCCCCAATACATCTCGATCGTCGTGATCGGTTTGTTGTTTGTCGGAATCACGCGTGCGGGGGTGTTAGGGATCGCGATTATAAGTATCGATGTTGATCCGTCTGATCATTCGATGTGGAAAATGCAGGGGATAGGATTCATTTTTTTGACCTTTCGGGCGCGGTTGAGCTACTGTTCTCACCCGGAAATATAAACGCACGGTCACTGGCGCTGTATTTGGACTGAAAGTTGCCCAAATACAGCTTACGATATGTCGGAATCACGCGCGGGGTTTCAAGGGAACGCGATTATAAGTACCGATGTTGATCCGTCTGTTATTCCCTGGAAACATGTTGTGACGTAAGAATCAAGCGTGGGGTAGGTCGTTCTCCACTTGACTGTCTAGATGAAGGCTGTCTAGATGCACCGGTGCGTCTGCTTTTCGAGCCGTAAGGTTGCCACTGCAAACTACTTCAAAAGATGTTGTGGCCAAGGAAAGGTACGCCTTTCGACACATGGGGGGGGAATATGGGTTTTGTCCATAGGAGCACACACAGGAAGTCCGAGTGCATTTCTATATCGATCGTGATCGGTTTGTCATGGTTGGAATCATTAAGCGGGACGTTTAGGGAACGCAACTTGCGTACATCGATCGTCGTCGGTCTGTCATTGTCGATGCTCGGTCTGTTATGTGAGGACTTCACGGAACGCGAGGACCAAGCGTGGCGGGGTAGGTGCGCAGGAAAACACACGGAGGAGGTTGCTACCGTAGTGGTAGCCTACCGTCTTTACCCGAATACAACGTACGGTCATTATTGCGGTATCTAGACGTTGACGCAAAGACGGTAGGCTACCACTACCTTCTTCCCCCGAATACAACGTACGGTTATTATAGCTGTATCTAGACTGAAAGATGCCTCAAATACAGCTACAATGACCGTACGTTGTAATCGGCTTCTAACTATAACAAAGGGATCACCGAGTGGAAAGCAGAGAGAGAAAAAGTACGGAACGGCAGAAGGTGTGTAGACGGATGTTGGATTTGAAAGGTGAGGTGAGGCGCGCGGAGAGAAGAAGAAGAAGAAGATGATGATTGATATAGTAGATGTTGTGGCAGATAGGAGGCGGAGAGATCAAGGGAAGGGAGTTAGGAGAGAGAGAGAGGCAATGCCATGTCCATGTAAGGCAACTACTGATCAGATCGATGCACAAGGTCTTCGCAGGCTTGGCGGATGTGAAAGAAGCCGGGGAAAGTAGAGGGGGAGAAAGGCGTGAAGGAGTTGGTTATACCGTCGTCTTCCTGCCAATAGGACGTGTTTACGGCCAGTATGGACGTGTCTAGAGTGAAAGTTGCCCGGAATACATACAGCTATAATGACCGTGCCTTCTATTCGGGAAAAGAAGGTACTCCAAAGGAATCAAAGAACATCAATGAGAGAGTGAGAGGAAGGACAGAAGGGGTAGGCAGGTAGTCTAGGAAAGCGCATCGGAAAGTCGAAGGGGGAAAGGGAGTGTGAGTTCCATGTTACTGCGAAGGTAAGTTGTGCCGTTCTGCTCGTTGGTGATATCTGTTTGGAGTTGGTAGAGCGTACGGAGGAGAAAGAGGAACCAATCAACGAACGAGTTTGTACATGGGATTGCATACGGTAGAAAGGAGCAGTCGTAATCTATATATGGGAAATGGAGTTGGTAGACGAGTCTATATATAGGCGAAATAAAGTATGTTCGGAGTTGGGAGTATGGGAAGCGAGTCTATATACAGGCGAAGTCTGCTTGGAGTTGGGAGAGCGTGTACGGTGAAGAGGAGCAGCAGTAATCTATATACGGGATCGCGCTTAATAGGGTAAGTTCCAGGAGGGAAGGAAGAAGGCAGGGAATGGGAGAGAGCGGAATGAGATCAAAGAGTCATTCGGGGCGGTGTGGGTGCGGGAGGGAGAATTTCTTTTTTTTTTTTTTTTTTTGGAGTACGGACAGCGGGAGGAGGCGGTGATCGGTACCTTTTTCTCGCGAATAGAGCGCATGGTTGGGGCAACTTTCAGTGTAGGTGCAGCGATGATGACCGTGCGTTTTATTAGGGTGGAAGACGGCAGCAAGTAATCGTGCGCGGGGGGAAGAGCTGAAAAAGGCGGAGGCGGTGATTTGTAGTAGCGGGGAGTGATTAAACCGCCAGCACCTTTCGCATGAGGGACAAAATAGAGTAGACGGGTGTCTACCCGGATGAATTCGATAATCTTCATCATTGTCGCGGCTTGTATACCGCTGTGACCTTTCGGAGGGGGTACTGGTGGTTTAATCATCATCCTTTGTAGTGGGGAAAAAAAAAAATGTGGCGGTCGAAAGAGAGGGGGGAGTATATAGCAGGATGTTGAATGGAAAATGAAGAATCATTCCCTGGGGGGTTTATCTGCAAGGGAGGGAGATGGGGATCTGGATTCGATTCCGCACAAGCTGCGCACTGTAGCGAGTGCAGATAGAGAGAGAGACCCATGCTATGACGATGGGTATGAGCCTTACGAAGCGAGAGACTGAATCCATATCCCGATGAAAAATGAAGAATTATTCATTGTAGCCGTTGCGTTTGGTATTTTCGTGGAGGAGGATACCATCGCCTTACGTCTCGATTCTCTCTTTCCGAATAGAAGCGATGCTATGAAGATGGGTAGGAACCGTACCAAGAGTCGAATGAGAATGGATATGACGGGTAGCACAGCCGTCTTCCTCCGAATAGAACGCACCGTAATTATCGCTGAATCTGGACTCGAAAGTTGTCCCAAGTGCAGATATAATTATCGCGCGTTCCATTCTGCTGAAGGCAGTCGTAGTCGATCAGGACGTATTTACCTTGCGCTGAAGCGTAGGCTGTGTGTGGTAAGGTTATGTAGCTTACGCAAGTTGGTGGCGGCATCTGACTACCCCTCAGATCCCTGCGGATGGAAATAACGGCTGACTGCCCCTCCCCTCAGATGGAAACGAGGGATGTGGTCATCTGACTTCCCCTCAGATGGAAATGAAGGGCAGTGCGGAAAAGAGGGGCGTGGTCATCACACTGCCCCTCAAATGGTAGAAAAAGTGATGGGCAAAAAAAGTAGCAGGAGAATGAGGGTCGTATTCAAAAAAAATAGGGAGCTAATGAGAGAGGTCTGGCGACCAAATTATGCGAGGAGTGGGTTGTGCCCAACCACC